TTTTGAGTTAGAAAAGAACCAGCTAAAAAAGCCCTCCATTGCAGAAAAACATCCCATCCAGTAAATAGTATTACCTATTTTAGAAACAGTCCCTTTTCACCCAGATTTATCTGTAGCTGTTTTATTTAGACGCTGCTGCAGAAACTCGGCGTGTTTGTTGTGTGGGATGATATGGAAATGTTTCTTCATGCCAGCAGTCGGAGCATCTAAGAGTCAGATTTGTAAGACGACATTCCTATTTATTTCCAGCCATGTGCCTCATCCTGAAGTTAGACATGCAAACAAAGCGGCGGCTCTGATTCCCTCCAGGCCGTCCTCCCTGTCAGCCCTGTGACTGCTAACACGGCGCTCACCTGAATAATGCATGATGGGAAAAAGGAATCGGAGGCGTCACAGATTTCACACTCTTCATCTGAAATGAAATAACATAATAAACTTGGCAGCTTCCCTCCCTGCTTTTCTATTATCCTCCTGACATTTTTACTCTTTTATTTCATGTTCTGATTGGTTCCTCCCCACTTTATTCTCATCCTTGGAGGTGCCGATGTTTTCTGTACGGAGGCTTCATTCTGGAATAATGCATTAATTATTTTACTGTGCCTGTCTAATCAGGCATATAGGGATTCGGGATGATTTTAAATGTTTCTATGATTTAAAAAAATATTCATATCCCTTTTGATTCTTTGCATGTTTTTTCTTGTTACAACATCCTAAAAAATGTGTTAAAAGCTAAAAAAAAAACAAAAAAAAAACAGATTTTGTCTTATGCTACGTTCAGACCACAGGCAGCAGAAGCAGCAAAAACATGCGTGCTGCTTCATTTCCAATTTAGTTCTGAGGCGCAGCTGAAGCATCTTTGCTGCTCCAGGAGCGCGGTGGAAAAATTAAGGAGAATAGAAATGAATAATGACTGATAATGAAATGAGGAATTTGGACTTCAAAGTTAAATTACTGACACTGGTTAAAGGAAAATTCAGATTTTTAACACTTTTAGCCCATTTTCTGTAGTGTCCAGGATGAAATCGAATGATCGACACCAAAATTTTGACAATTGGTCCTGTCTCTGCT